TCATGATCTCCATCGTTCTCGTCATCAACATTATCATCAACATCGTCATCATCCTCGGGACACCATCATCATCATGATCATCGCATCATCATCATCATCGACATCATCATCATCAACAACATCATCATCATTGGGGCACCATCATCATCATGAGCAACATCATCATCAACTTCGTCATTATCATTATTATCATCATCGGGGCACCATCGTCATCACCATCATCATCATCATCACCATCATCATCATCAGCATCATCATCGGGACACCATAATCATCATCAACATCACCATCATCATCAACATCATTATCGCCGGGGCACCATTTCCATCAACATCATCATCACCAACATCATCGGAATCATCACCATCATCATCGTGCATCATCGTCACCATTATCAACATAATCATCATGAGCATCATCATCCTCATCATCGGGACACTATCATCATCATCGACACCATCATCAACATCATCATCATCATCTTCATCGGGACACCATCATCATCATCATCCCATCATCATCATCATCATCATCATCATCATCATCATCATCATCATCATCGTCTCATCATCATCATCATCCTCGCGGGACACCGCGGGACACCGGCGGGACACCGCGGGACACCGCGGGACACCGCGGGACACCGGCGGGACATCGCGGGGCCCCGCGCCCCGGATGAGAAGCATTTGGTCCGGCCGCGCCTCAGCCACAGGAGGACGCCGCGGGACACCGGCGGGACACCGCGGGGCCCCGCGCCCCGGAAGAGAAACATTTGGTCCGGCCGCGCCTCAGCCACAGGAGACTTTTTCTCGCCCGCCCACGCAGCTTCGCCTCGTACGCACGCCACGCACGAACACGAAACCGAAACCGATTTCCCGGTGGGGGGCTCGCCGTTCCACTTCGATCTCCCCCTCACCTCCGATAGCCCTATAGCCCAATAGCCCAATAGCCAAATTGCCCCATAGCCCCATAGCCCCATAGCCCTATAGCCCTATAGCCCTATAGCCCTATAGCCCTATAGCCCTATAGCCCTATAGCCCTATGGTCCTAAAGCCCTATAGCCGTACATAGCCCTATAGCCCTATAGCCCGAATAGCCTTATAGCCCTTAGCCCTATAGCCCTATAGCCCTGTAGCCCTATAGCCCCATAGCCCTAAAGGCTTCTAGCCCTATATCCCTATGGCCACATCGCCCTATAGCCCTATAGCCCCATAGCCCTAAAGCCCTAAAGCCCCATAGCCCCCCCAAATTCTGATTGGGTTTTTTCTCTGGTATCATTTTAGCTTTGGGACCTTAAAACTCTGTTGCCGACGCGTGTGTCGGCACCCACCTTGTTGGAGATTTTAGCTTTGGTCCCACCTGCCGACACGCGTGTCGGTCCGACAAGGAGGAGCTACCCATGGGAACTTGTGATGGATAAGGACGAGGGAGGGAGGAACAGCGATGACACTGAGGGAGAGGACTGAGCAGGTACGTACCAGGGAGGAAGGAGTAGGATGACGATGAATGAGGAGGGAGGTGGGACGTAGGAGAGGGGGGGGATAAGTAGGATGAGGGGAAGAGGACGAGGGGGGATGAGCGTGCGATGACAAGACCGGAAGGAGGGACAGAGAGCAGGATTATGATGAAGAAGAATCGGAGGATCATGGAGGAGGAGGAGGAGAAGGAGAAGGAGGAGGAGGAGGAGGAGGAGGAGGAGGAGGAGGCCATCACGCAGTACTCTGCTCGGAACTGACGGTGGCCCGGGGAGCGCGCGCCCGGCGTCATTTTTTGCGAGGGGCGGTGGCTTCGGGAGCGCAAGAGCGTCTTGTGAGCTGTCGAGAGTTGTGCGCCGGGGGCGCCAGTTTGGTGTAATTCGAATGGGATGGTATGTTTCGGGAACGCGAATCCGGCGTAACTTCCGCGCGCGCTTGCGTGTGTGCGTGTGTGCGTGTGTGTGTGTGTGTGTGTGTGTGTGTGTGTGTGCGTGTGTGTGTGTGTGTTTGTGCGTGTGTGTGTGTGTGTGTGTGTGTGTGTGTGTGTGTGCGTGCGTGTGTGTGTGTGTGTGTGTGTGTGTGTGTTTGTGCGTGTGTGTGTGTGTGTGCGTGTGTGCGTGCGTGTGTGTGTGTGTGTGTGTGTGTGTGTTCGGGAGCGCGGATCAGGCGTTAATGTCAAGCATCGAATCGTGGTTTCGAAAGCGCGAACCTGTCGCAATCTGAAAGGGGGTGCGGCTTGAGGAGCGCGATTCTGGTGTAATCCCGGAAGGGGCTCTCGCTTTTTTTTGGGGGGGGGGGGCAATGTGGTGACTTCGGGAGCGCAAGAGCGTCGCAGTTCACGGAAGACGATGGCTTCGGGGACGCAGACGTGGAGCGTGGTGTGGGGAGCGCGGGCGTGGCGTATTTTATTGAAAGATTGTGGCGCTTGTGGAGCGCGAGCCTGGCGTGATTCATGAGGGCTTGTGGTTCGGGGAGTGCGAGCCTTGAGTCATTCACGATGGGTTGTGGCGTCGGGAGGGCGGGATGGGGCGTACCGTTTGGTGAGTGGATTGAGGATCATGGTTTGGGGGCGCGAACCCAGCGTACTTGACGAGGGAGTGCGGCTTCGGAAGCGCGAACCTGACGCAATTTACGAGGGGTTGTGCGCGCGAGTCTGGCGCAATTGAATCATGAGTATGCTTTCGGAAGCGCGAATCTACGGTAATTTGCAAAGGGTCGTGGCTTGCAGCACGCGGGCGTGATGTAGTTTTCAAGGGATTGTGGTTTCGGAAGCGCAAGTCTCGAGCTTATTTGCGAACTCCTGCGGCTTCGGACGGTCTCGGAAGCGCGAGCCTGACGTAATTTGCAGATGGATTTTGGCGTCGGGAGCGCGAAGTTGCAATACTTTGCAACGGATTCTGGCTTCGGGAGCGCGACGTAATTCATTATGGGTTTTGGCGTCAGGAGCGCGAGTCTGCCGCATGTTTTTCCATGTCCTAGGGCCGCCCGAGGAATTCAAAGCACGTGATTATGTGGTGGGACCTGGGTGTTTTTTTTGCCCCCCTCCTCACCACTCCCTCCTTCGCGCGGGCTTCATAGTACCACCGCAGCAGTGGAGCTAGACAAACATGATCTTTGCAGTTTGCCCTTATGTTTTGGGAGCTGGAACTGCTACAGGGGACAAACAATGCCCAGCCCGCGCAGCCTGTTGGCCCTCAGGGGGGCCGGCGGATTCGCTTGAAGAGTGCACGACATTGTTCCCAAGTCTTCCTTGGTCGGGTCCTCGTTTTGAAAGGAGCAGTGGGGTCGCCGACTCCTTCCTCCCCCCTCCCCCCCCCTCTGCTGGGCCGTGCCACTCATTAGTTGCGCCCCCCCCGGCTGACGAGGTCGTGCACCTTGCTTCCGAGGAGAGCCGAACCGAACCCCCCTTTGCTCTCTCCTCTCGGCTCTGTCGCCCTCTCGCCTGCCTGCGGGGGGGGGGGGGGGGGCAGCACGGTGGGGTCCCACGCGGACCTGGACGGGACCTCGCCATCCCTTGTCGGCTGCGAAGTGCCAAACTGGTGCCGCTTTCGAGGGCTGCTGTGCGGGGCCAGCACAGTGGGGTCCCACGCAGACCCAGACGGGACCTCGCAACCCTTGGGTGGCTGGAAGTGCAAAACTGGTGCCGCTTTCGAAGGCTGCTGGGGGTGGCAGCACAGTGGGGTCGCACGCAGATCCAACCGGGATTTCGCCATCCCTGTGGGGGCTGCGACGTGTGAAGCCGTCGCCATTTTCGAGGGCTGCTGGGGGGGGGGGGGCAGCACAGTGGGGTCCCACGCAGATTCTAAAAAAATCTTCCCGCGACACAGAGGCCCCATGCCGAGGTGATTGTTCTTCCGCCCCGATGTCTTCCTTTTGCTTCTCCTTCCCAGTACATTGCCTCCTGGCCTTTTGTACCTCTGTTCTGCGAGTCGGCCACGCACACTTCGTACGACATAGACATCCGCCGTGCACCGTCTCTTGCAGTGTTGCTGTCGCATTTTTGCCGGCACGCCTTATATCATCCCTTGGCTCCGATGGATCGGGTACGTCGCAAGGCAAGTTTTCCAAATCAGGTCCCTCGCAAAAGTGGCAAGTCCATCGGGGCCACGCCTTGTCAGGGGGGTGCTTCCTGCGGCGGGCCGGGGAATGTGTGAACAAATGTGGGGACGTGGCCTGGGGCGGGGGTTTTAAACCAGCCTCGTTGATGCATCCTCGGTTTCGTATTGTCCTCCTCCTCCCCCTCCTCCTCTTCGTCGTCGTCGTCCTCCCCCTCCTCCTCTTCCTCAGAGTTCGGGTTGGACTCGTTGGGGCCTGCTTGGGCCCCCCGCGCCCTCCTCTGGAGTATTCCATCTTCAGCTGGCAACGGTGAGAAGATTTTCGGAATGCTTGTGCGTTACAGTTCGTATTCACGCACGCCCGGTGCTGCACATTCTACATACATGAGGCCAGTTGGTGGTCACCCGTCGCACGAACACTGCGCGCCTCCACGCCGCGTATTATTTTTAATCCCCCCCCTGGATGGGGGCCATTCGTATACCCGCTATATAGCGCACGTTAGGTCGCACACAGCGTCATATTGCTCGGCGTGCTTCGCTGTGTAGTAATCTCATTTGAGAGACGGGAAAAACGGGTTCGATTGCGCTGGCACTGGCGGGCGGCACGCTGCCCGCGTAAGGTTGCGCGTGGGCGCCCTCGCTTTTGCGGTGTGGCGTGCCGCGCGGACGGCCCGCGTGAGCTGCGGCGTAAGGTCGCCTCGCGCAAGTCTCGTTTCCCACCGCCCACCAAACCACCTCAACCCAACCCGAAGAGTTTTCACTGGGGGGGGTGCCGGGGAACTTTGAACAAAAAACATATGAAGCCCGTGCCCCCCCCCAAACCCGAAATGCGGGTCTTCGGGTTGGGTTGGGGGGGGTCTGGTAGGTCGTCCGTGTCGGATCGTCGGTCATTTGGCCGCCGCCGCCTCCCCCGCCCTCCGCCCCGCCCCCCCTTCCCCCTCCACTGACGCTCCTTGGGGCCGGGGGGGAGGGCAGCGCCCAGATCCAGGGCCTCAAGGCCAAGCCGGCCCTCAACGGCGAGGCCTGGCCGCTGCAGGGAGCAGCGGGGGGGCAGGAAAGGGCATGTTTAAGTCTGGCATTTCTTTCTACAAGAGGAGTATGGAAGAATGGTAAGAAGTAGTCAGGGGACTATCTTTCGTGCGTTTGAACTATTTTTGAGTATTTGTTGATCATCTTCTCCCTTCTAAAGTCCGCCTGTGGGCGGACACGCCCGACCTACTACGGGCATGTGCGAAAGCGAGGAGGGGGCGATCTCGGGGGGCGACTCGTGGCCGTCGCCCCCGCGCGCGAACCCTGTGCCGGATTCCACTTGTTCGTCGGGGTGGTGCACAGACATGGTGACCCCAGGGGATGCCAGTCTTGTGCACAACCCCCTCTCCACGGTCTTGGGCCGGACCAGTTTGTCTGTGGGTGGTGTGCAAAAGTCGTGTTCCCAGTGGAGGAGAATAGAGGATGGGAGGTTTTTGTAATGTTTTTGGCCTGTAATGGTTTCTGGGAGTTCCAGGGTTTCCAGAGGTCCCCAGATACCTTTAGATACTTCAGGGGAGGCCCCGCGGAGGAGGAGGAGGAGGAGGAGGAGGAGGAGGAGGAGGAGGAGGAGGAGGAGGAGGAGGAGCTCTGGGGCATTTGAGGCTTAGACAAAGGTCTCCTCAATGCATCGAAGCCAGAGTTTTTGTTGTTTCTCAGGCTCTACAGGCCCATCGCTCCTAGTCTTCAGGAGCTGGTGATATCGTCGGTACTATGGAAATTGCAAGGGTGATGATTACGATGATGAGGATAAGGGGAGTGATATTCACAATATTGTTCGTGATGATGGGGAGGAGGAGGCAGCGAGAGTTTCCTTGCTCTCCAGCGCTGCGCAGAGGGACGCACGTTGTCGACACCAATTCCCCGACCGCGCACGAGGTGCTTCCTGATTCAGCCACCTGGGACGATAAGGGAAAGTTCAACATCAACGACTCGTGCACTGCGCGCCTAGCCCCAAGTTTTTCAGAACTGCGCAGCAGCCGACTAATCGCATGCACATGCTGCGCAGCGCGCCTTCAGCGGCCAGGCCACGGTCCGCCTAAGACACCACACCTCTCATGGAAGGGGTCCACCGATACTGCTCGCCAAGCCACACATGCCTGGTGGACCAGGAAAGCAGGAGGATGAGGAGGAGGAGGAGGAGGCTTGGCCAAACTGAGGTCAGCGCAGGACTTTGCAGCGCCGACTTGGGACCAGCGCGACTTGAGCACGGAGGGCTGGTTCCACCCCAAACATGTGATGTCCTGTTTTTTCCCAACCGTCCTGTGGAATTGGCTTCTCGTTTTGAAGAGACAGCGCCCCGCGTTCCTTCCTCTCCTCTCCTCTCCTCCCTCCTCCCCCTCCCCCCTCCGCCTCCTCGCTTCTGCTCTCCGCATCAGTCTACCGTTTTGGCTCACCCCTCACACGTTTTGTGGCCCCATAGGGAGCTCCACCAGAGGCCTCAGTCGGAAAGTTCGCATGGCACCGCCGTTCCATTTTGGTACACCCCTCACATGTTTTGTGGCCCCATCAGGAGGTAGGTGCATATTTAAGGCCTGGGAACCCGATATTCCTGGACCTCAGGAGGAGGCGGAGTATATGGGTGCAGATTGGCCCCAGGGGCCAAACCATCTCCATGTCCACCGGCCGCTGAGTTTCCTCGGGACGTCGGTTCGTTCCGCGGGCGGTGGATCTGGATGAGCCGCCGCCTCGTAGGAAGCCCGTGTGGTGCCCACATGCGTCATCTCGACGCCCGGTTGGTCCACGCCCGGATTCGTATGTTCTTCTGCATTCGGGCTTTTTGCACGTCCAGTTGCCTCCGGCAAGTCCCGCCACCGCGCTGGCGCAGCACGCAGCGTGGCCACGCTTCGAGCACCGCCCGGAAGGCGATGACATGCGACGCCCCTCGCCCCCATTCCTTGAAGGGGCTCTCAAGGAGGTCTCCCGGGCCACGGGGCTGTCTTGGGCTCCCGTGGGGTCCTCTTGGGACTCTCCTGGGGATGAACTCGGGGCTCTCTCGGGCCGACTGGGTGCCGTCTGGGGACTCGAGGCTGCCCCAGGATTGAACAAGTTCGTCCCAGGGAGGCTCCCGGGGTCCATCGGGCGGGGCTACACATGTAGGACGAGGATCAATCCGTTCCGAGCGTTCCGGAACGCTCTCAGAGCGTCCCGGAACGCTCTGAGAAGGCCGCCCGCCAGAGCCGCCAGATCTTTGAGATTCACGATGCATCCCCACCTGATGCCATCCTCGCCCTGGCTTCGCCTCAGACCAGGGCCCGCGTGCGCTGGGCTAGGGGGCCACATGCGAACCCCACCCCTATACCCCCCACGAGTTCTGAGGGGGATAGGGTGGGGTTCCCTTCGTCCGGGAGCTTCCGTGCGCAGGGAACCCCGCCCTCCCCCTCAGAAATCGTGGGGGGTAAAGGGGCAGGGTTCGCACGTGGCCCCCTGTGAGCGATGTGCGGCCCTGCCTCGGCCGCGCGTGGAGCCGGAGGCGGCGAGGGCGAGGGGGCCCGCGGCCCGGCAGGGAGGCGCGGGGTCTCTCGGGAGGGCTCGCTCGCCCCCCCGCCGACGCCCCTCGCGAGTTGCTGCCCCTCGCTGCTTCTCTCGGCGGGCAGCATACTCCGCCCCTCCTCCTCCTCCTCCTCCTCCTCCTCCTGCCCCTCCTCCTCCCTCCTCCTGCTCCTCCCTCCTCCTCCTCCTCCTCCTCCCGGCCCTCCTCCTGCTCCTCGTGGTCGTTACTGTCCACCCCACCCCCTGCACAATTGCACAATATAAATAATTACTACTCTCCTCTCTGCCCTGACACTGTCCGGAGAGCCCCCCGTCTTCTCCGCACATTGTTTTTACGCAGGTGTTCATTAGTTGTTGTTGTGTTCCCCGTGTGTTTTTTATCCGGTCGTTTCTGGTTCTTCTAAAATGGTGTTCGCGCTGCAGCTATTGTTCTCGTTCCCGCGCCTCTGGACGGCACTTTGCATTCGAAAGCGCCCATATCGGGCAGGCGCGGTTGCGGAGGACATGCAGCTGGCATTTCGGACAGGCCCCTTCTTCTCGTAGACAGGCCAGTTGCCCTCCAAGTCTTTCGGTGCCATGCCACGGCATGCGATGCGATGCTGTGTTGTGCACCGCTGTTCGATGACATGCTTTGCGTTGCTATGCTGTGTGATGCAATGCTTCACTAAGCAATGCCAGGCAATGCTATGACATGCTGTGCTCTGCCGTTCTCTTTTACGCCATGCGTTTCCGTCCAACGCGTACCCTCTTGGGGTCATTGGCCTGCTAGACACCCCGCTGTGTGAACAGATAGGAGATCCACGCCATGGTACAGGATGGGAGGGAGGGCAGATGTGACGCTAGCGCGCCTATATGTTCCACCCTCCCTCCTCCCCCCCTACCTGTGGGCCTCGCAGGAAAGTGGTAGTCGCGCTTCGGATCCCCCGATGGATCGCCCGGGTCCTCCACCGACGGTCCGTAGCCAGTTCAGTTCAGGGCAAATTCGCTCAAGCGGAACCGGCAACAAGGTAGTCTCCGCGCCAGGTCTAGGGCTGTTGCCTGAATTTCGGAGATGAGGCTCATGTTGGACATCTGGGACGTATTGGCGGACAAGGGTCCAATGAATTGTTTCTATTTCGACGCCTTCGTTCCCGGGGCATTCCCTTTTTTATGCCTTGCGGTTGCGAAGGTGGGTGCTGACAACGTCTACATATGCAGTCGCACGAATCAGGGAAATTCGAAGAGGGAAACATGTTGGGGATATCAGCGGCTGAGCAACATCGGTCATTAAAGTTCTTGGCGTGCCAGAAAGCAATGTGCAATTTAGCACCAGCTGCAGAGAGCGGTCTGGCAAAGGACCTTCGGCACGGGAGTGGGACATCACACGCGTGGTGGATGACAAGCCAGTTCACTTCGAGTCGTATTCACAATACTGTGGGGGCAGTGTAGCCGCCGATGGTTTGGTTCTCTTTGGTGATGGTCCACGGGCAGGCGTTTCGAGAAATATGGTGCGTGTGCGTGTTTCCCGCGCCTTGGTAGATCATCTGGGTTTCGGTGTTCCGCATTTTCAAGCGGCGAAAGAACTCTCATACCCGTTGGTGACAGGCAGCCGACATCCTGCCGATCTCAAGAATTTGTTAACACTCCTCGATGTTTTGCGGGAGCGCCTTGAGGATGATATTATGATGGTCGCAACTCGACCGGATGTCGCGAGCCTGAGTGGGGCATCCGACAACACTGTTAAAGATGCTGCTGGCGCAAGACTGGGGGAAGCATCGGAGAGTGGAGCAGGCAAACGGGACAAGCGGCGATCAGCCTCTAGTGAGGCAGTTCCAGGGCGAGCGCAGAAAGAAGCAAAGCCCCGAAGCTGCGAATATTCACGCCCGACTAGGCGCGCCGAGCCGTCACCGATTGCGGCTGACACCGAGCGCGAGTGCGCCGACGATATAAGGCCGGCTGTAGCGGGTAGACGAGAACAGGACAAGCCCCCATACACTTGGATGGGGACTTGTCCTGCGCAGTGGATCAGCAATGCGAGAGAGACGCCACCCCGCTCTCCAAGGCCTGTGGCAGGAACGCCCGCTGCTGCGACGCCTGAGCGTTGGCCACCTGGCGGGTCTGGTTGCGCCAGCGCAAATTCTTGGGCGCCCCAGCTGATGCCCGCGTGGGTGCCCGCTGGGCCGCTTCATGGTTGGGCCAGCACCAATGCATGGGCAGCCCCCTCGGTGCCAGCGTGGCCGCTTAGTTCTTGGGGGCAGGTCCCTCCGCCAACGCATGCGTGCGCCGCCGCTGCTGTCCCGCCGGATCCACGCAGCCGAGATGCCGATTCATCTTCGTCCATTGCGCGCCAATCAACCGGTTATCGTGGCCACAACTTGTCACCGCGGCCAGATGGTTGGTACAATCGCCCCCGCAAGGAATGTGACCCAGTGGCAGAGCGCGGAGGAAGGAACAGCGAGCGTGGGAGGCACGCGGGCGCCAATTATGGCCGAAAGCACAAAAAGCAAAGGACATATGCTGAAA